ATATATAAAATTTGCTTCCTGGCCTCCCACCGCTCCTGAGGCAGCTGTACTGGGACCTCCCCAGTACCTTCCCTGCTCCACAGCATGTGTGGGACGGCCGCGCTGCTCACCACTCTTCCCAGCCCACCAAGGGGACTCTGTGCCCAGCCCCAGGAGGCCTGAAAGGTTAGATGGAAGGAAGGCCAACTAGTGGTGAGAGATAGAAGACTCTGAAAATTAGGATGACCATACAAGATCAAGGCTGGAGAGATGGCTTAGCGGTTAAGAGCATTGACTGCTCTTACAGAGGACCCAGGTTCGATTCCCAGCACCCACATGGTGGCTAACAACCATCTGTAACTCCATTTCCGGGGAAATCCGATGCCTTCTTCTGACCCCTGCAGGCATTGCATGACACGGGTTCATTTACATGCAGACAATACACTCATACACATAAAATAAAAATAATAAATTAAAAAAATTTATTATTATAAATAAAATTATAAACAAGATTATTTTTATTTTTTTTATGTGTATGAGTATATTGCCTGCATGTATGTAAGTGCACCTGTGTCATGTGGTGCTTGCAGAGGCCAGAGGAGGGTGTCAGATCCTCCTGAAACTGGAGTTAAGATGGTTATTAGCCACCATGTGGGTGCTGAGGATCAAACCTAGACCTTCTGCAAGAGCAGCCAATGCCCTTAACTTCTAAGCTATCTCTCCAGCCCCTTGAAAACTCTTTAAATAGACACAGTGACACTTGTCCCCCAAAAAGCTCTCAAGTAACTCCAGTTTGTGTAGTAAGTTCTGAGACAAAAAAGCGCTCTAGCAGTAAGCTAAGTTACCTAAGCTAAGCTATGGCCCTGGCCCGGGCTCTGAAGAATGTTAGTGGAGTATTTCTGTCCTCAGGGACAGATTGCTCCTTCCAACCCCTACCTTGCAACTGGGCTGAGCTCCTGTATGTTATTCCTTGGTTCAGATGCAAAGGCTACGGCAGGCCCTGCAGGCCTCCCAGGCTGAGCGGGACACAGCCCGGCTAGACAAAGAACTGCTGGTCCAGCGGCTGCAGGGGCTGGAGCAAGAGGCAGAGAATAAGAAGCGCTCCCAGGACGACAGGGCTCGGCAGCTGAAGAGCCTTGAGGTGAGGGCATTGGGCAGGCTGTGTGGGAAAAGGAGGGGGTTCTGGCACAAGTGAGATGTAGGTGTATTCCAAGCCCCTTCCTGTCTGAGAGAATAAAATTCACAGCCACAACTGATGGAATTTGCCAGATGTTACAGTGTTTCAAGCGTTTGCGAACTAGATATACGTGTTGAGAAAATTGTAGATGTCACATTAAAAACTAGGATTTCTGTTTTCTCTTGTATTTGGAAAGTGTTAACACTGACCTTCCACACCTGAGTTCTGCATCGCAGCAGCAGTTGTCTGGAGCTGAGCAGTGGCTTTCCTCCTTAGAATGAATGATAGTCTTCAATTTGCTATACTTGAAAATAAGAATAGCAGCAATAAGCATTTATCATTCTGTGGGAGTGACACAGAAGACTCCTTGCATCTTCAGTGTAACTCTGTGATGTAGATAGTCTCATTTTCTCCATTTTACAGGTGAGGAAAGCAATCATAGAGATAGTAAGTAGCTTGCCAGTGGGTTCAGTGCTAGGAAGTGGTAGATCTGACTTTCAGGATCCATTTCCTTAGCTTCTATGTCGTACTGCATGGCTTGAATTTGCTCCCCTAATCTGTACTCTGGAAATTCTATTTCTGAGTCTTTCAGCCCCCAACCCTCCCCCCTTGAGTTTCAGTTTTTCCCTTAAGGAAATAGGTATCCAGGGAGGAACAGATTTTAGGGTTTGCCTTCCTGGTCAGCAGAGGGCGCTGGCTCCATAGTGGCTTTGAGCACGCAGGAACAAGGATCAAAAGGTTCCTGGGATGTGCAAGGGGGAAAGGTCTGTGGGTTGAAGTTTTGAGAGGGTTTTGTTTTGGGTTTGGCCTTCTAGTGTTCAGACTTTGGAGCAGAATTGACCTTTTGTTCTGTCATAGGAAAAAGTATCACGGCTGCAAGCAGAATTAGATGAAGAAAAAAACACTGTGGAACTGCTGACAGACCGGATGAACCGTGGCCGGGACCAGGTATCTACCCCTGACTGTGTAACCTCTTCGCCCTCTCAAAGACAGCTTTGACCTCTCATCTTCCATAACCTGCAGAGTTATGGCTGCATAGTCTATGCAAGGCAGAATCTACTTCAGGCTCTCATCTGCTTTGGAAAGGGTTGACAGGTTTCCTTAGGTGCAAGGAAGCCAAGAATTTGAGTGGCGGACAGAGTTCTGGTGGCCTGTGCTGCTCTGACTCTAGCGAGGACTGTTTCAGTTTGGAAGGAATGCCATTTGTGAGATTTAGAAAGCCCTCTTTCAAGTGGCTCTTCCCATTCAAATAGCTGTAATTTCTTTTTTTATTTTTTGACTTGACACCCAAACACATCACTTTAATCTATAATATTCCCCCTTTCCATAAAGCTTATATCCATCTCAAAGGCAAAAATGCCTTCAGTCCAATTTCAAAAGTCTTCATAGTCTTACAGTTCCAATGCTGTTTGGAAGTCCAAAGTTCAAAATCTCCTCTGACTCTCAAAACAATCTGTGAGCTCCAAACACTGCAGCTCCATGTCTAGCACCCAGGGCTCATGGTGGCATCATCTGGGCTTTAAGGGTCTTGGGCAGTGCTGCAGTTCAGCACTCATAACCTCTCTGTTGGGTTGACTCCTCTTGGTGCCTGCAGCTTTTCTCTGTAGATGTCCCACATTCCTGGCATCTCTGACATCCTGGGGGTCACTATTGCAACTTGGGTTTCATTTTCATATCTTATGTGAATGTGAAGGGCCTTTTGTGAAGGGCCTCTTTGTAGAAAATCCAACTGGTTTGAGGGGATACAATCCGTCATGGTATGGAAGGCATGGTGACAGGTAGCTTCATGGTGGTAGGACTATGCGATGGCTTTCTCACATCTAGGCAGACCAGGGAGCATCCAGAGAGGAATGCTGAAGTTTCCAGCTGTGATTTCTCAGTTATCTGAAAATTTGGGGAGCTCATAGTTCAGAGTGTTTTCAGGGACCTGCTGCTTCTGTTAGTTCAGTTTTCTGGTTTAGTTCTTAGCCTTCCTCAAGTCCAGTTCTTCTCACTCATCCCCACTAGGTGGATCAGCTGAGGACAGAACTCATGCAGGAGAGGTCTGCTCGGCAGGACTTGGAGTGTGACAAAATCTCCTTGGAGAGACAGGTGAAACAGGGAGTCTTGGGGATAGACCTTGGGGGCCAGGCAGAGGACCAACTGGAGTGCTAACCATGGAGGCTTCCTGTCTCTCTCAGAACAAGGACTTGAAGACCCGGTTGGCCAGCTCAGAAGGTTTCCAGAAGCCTAGTGCCAGCTTCTCTCAGCTTGAGTCCCAGAATCAGTTGTTGCAAGAGCGACTGCAAGTTGAAGAGAGGTGACATGAACCTGACATTCATTCCTCTCGCCCTTCCTTCCTTCCTCTGGGTTTTTCTTCTCTGGGCCTTCCTTCATCTTCCACCTCACATCTGGCCAACCTGGCCTCATCTTCAGGGAACCCCCTTGCTCCTGATAGAGAGCAGAAAGAGTTGTGGAAATTCTGGGATGTGAATGACTTCTGTCTCCCTGGTTCTTTGGATCTCCCCTGGATCCTCCCCCATCTACTGGTGAGGCTCATGACAGAAAAGTCCTTGGAGGCAATAAAGGGCCAAGAAAGGGCTCCCTTAGAAACGGCAGCAGCCATAAACATCCCTCTGCTTCAACCTCTTAGGGAGAAGACAGTTCTGCAGTCCACCAATCGGAAACTGGAACGCAGAGTTAAAGAGCTGTCCATCCAGATTGATGATGAACGGCAGCATGTCAATGATCAGAAAGACCAGGTGAGAACCTGGCACCCTGGGGTCGAGCAGTAATGGAGCAAGTATACATTATGTGTTCTCTTGAACAACAAGGGAGGCCTCCATCTCTCCTAGGTCTTCCAAACTTAGACTTCGCTTATGTAGGGATGAGATATCAGATTGAAAGGACCAGTCTAGAGTAGTCATAGTTAGTCTATGTTTCAAGTGTGCTAGTTTATCTAAGTGTTATGTATATTAATTCATCGAGTCCCCGAAGCAACCTTTGTGTTGTGTGTGTGCGCACATGTGTGAGATGTAAATGTGTAGGCATACATATGGAGGACAGAGGACAACTTTTCGTGTTGTTCCTCAGGCAATGTCTACCTTTTTGGGGGGAGGGGAGCCAGGTTTCTCTCTGGCCTGGAACCTGTCAAATAGGTTAGACTGACCAGTGAGTTCTAGGGAGATCAAACTCAGGTCCTTGGCAAGCACTTTATTGACCTAGCTATTTCCCTAGCCTTCTAACCCCCTCAAAACAGCTTCCAGAGACTAGAGAACTTATACATAGTCACAGTTTTCCAAGGATGATTATCCCATCAGAATTGTTACAGGGGAAGTCCCAGGCCATGATAGCAGATGCTTTTCTAATGTGAGGATTTGGTATCCTACTTAGCTAAGCCTGAGAGTAAAGGCCTTGAAGCGGCAGATGGATGAAGCAGAAGAGGAAATAGAGCGCCTGGATGGCCTTCGGAAGAAAGCACAGCGGGAGCTGGAAGAACAGCATGAGGTCAACGAACAGCTCCAGGCCCGGATCAAATCTCTGGAAAAGGACTCCTGGTATGACTGCCCTTCTGCACCCTGCATCATGGGGTAGGGAATGGACTCTCCCAAGCTGGATAAGAAGAAATATACAGTCCCTTATCCCTGCCTAGAAGCCAGTATGATTAGTTCTTAGTATCTTAGCTTCCATCCTTCACCCTGTTTCTCTAGAAACTATGTGAGTAGTTTTTGGTCTTAGCAGAATTAGTTCCTTAGTGTGGAAAGTGACTAACTCAATTTATTCTTTTTCTGACTCAGGCGAAAAACTTCCCGCCCAGCTGCTGAGTCAGCCCTCAAACATGAAGAACTGAGCTCTGATGAGGAATTTGACAGTGTTTATGACCCCTCATCCATCACTTCACTGCTTACAGAAAGCAACCTACAGACCAGCTCCTGCTAGCTCATGATCTTCAAAGACCAGAAACAGGCTTGAAGCCTGCCCCAGCCAGCCAGCCTGTTCTGCTCTGTCCTTCCTGCTTCAGATTCCTCTTTCCTAGGGGTGACCTGATTATTTAGACTTCAGACTGGGAGGGGTCAGAGTGATGGTGATAAAAACACATTTGCAGTAAGCTGGTGGGTGGGCTTGGCCTTTTCACTAGAGGAATGGGCATTTTAGGCCTCTCTGAGCCCTTATAGGTGCTGACCTCTTCTTCATCTCACAGTGGACGAATGGCCAGCATACGCACTGAGGGGGACCAAGAAGGATAGGAAGGGATGGATATTGCCATGCATGTAAAGCTTTATTTCTTTTATCTTTAACCCTATGGCTCAGGGAAATATGCGATGCTGTTCTGCTCCCTGGATTCCTGAAACCTTTTTTCCTCCCATTCTGGAGCAGAATAAGGGAACATTATGGGTAATGTACGCGCAGGCGTGGCTCTACCTACTGCTCAGATACTTCTCTTCACCTAGTCATTGGCCCATGTAGTAGTCCCTCACATCCCTTCAGTTCCTATATTTTTATTTTCCCCAAGACAGTGGGTTCAGGGAACCCTTCATTCACTCTTCTTCCCATCTTTACCACTCCTGCTTTCCTCTCAGTGCCTTACTGGTGTGAGATGAGAATGCTCTTCTTGCCTTTCATGAACCTGCACATTCATACCTCTCCGAAAACCAGTCTTTCCCAAACTGGGAAAGCCTGCCCCACTTCCCCAGTGACTGTACAAGAGAGCTACAGGCTGCTCTGCTCACCAGTCCCTGGGAGGAGGGACTCTGGTAGACCTTGATAAGGTGGTGGGGTCCTGGTTCTGCTCAGGGTTTCCCACCTTCCTTCTCTCCCTCTGCGACTACGGATGCCACTCTAAGGTGGTTGCACCTGGGAACCCTGACAACTATCTATACAAGTTTTGCAAAGCAAACATCTAGTCTCTGTGGCCTTCCTTTTGGCTTCTCTGGCTAGATGTGTCCTGCCTCTAATGAGAGTACCAGTAGACCGTCATTTTTCTCAGGAGCTAGGCCTTGATTCAGGGCTTTGCCTGGGGTCAGGAGCTGGCTCTTAGTAGGGAAGGGAAAGAGCAGTGGAGAATTTATTCCTCCTTGGAGTTTTGAGAAAGAGCCAAGCTCTGGTGGGGATAAGGTAATGGGAATGAGTCACCCCTTATTTCCAAAGTAAATTTTGTTCTCACCAATGACTTGTAATTTCATAATTAAAAAACATTCCATATTCTGCAAATCTGATATTTTCTCCCAATCCAATCCAGTCTTGTGGGGGTTTTTTTGTTTCTGTTTTTTGAGACGGTCTCACTATGTAGCCCTGACTGACCTGGAACTTGCTATGTAGACCAGGCTGGCCTCAAACTCACAGAGATTTACTTGCCTCTGCCTCCTGAGTGCTGGGACTAAAGGTGTACACCACCATACCCAGCTTGATTTTATTTAAAATAAATATTATCTATATTGAAATCCTTGTCTTTGTTTTCCTGGCTTATTTGGGGATCTACTCTGTTTTTTTTTTTTTTTTTTTTTTTTTTTTTTAATTTTTTTTTTGAAACAGGGTCTCCTTATAGCCCCAGCTGTCCTGGAACCACTATGTAGACCAGGCTGGCCTTGAACTCACAAAGATCTGCCTTCCTTTGCCTCCCAAGTGCTGGGATTAAAGGCGTGTGCCACCAAGCCCGGCTCTATTCTTTTTTTTTTAAAAAAATTATTTTTTATTTTACATGTATGAGTGTATTGCCTGCATATATGTAAGTGCACCTGTGTCATGCACCACCCTCAGAGATCAGAAGATGGTATCAGATCCCCTAGGACTGCAGTTACAGATGGTCCTTAGCTGCCATGTGGGTTCTGGGAACTGAATCTGGGTTGTCTGCAAGAGCAGCCAGTCTCTTAACTGCTGAGCCATCTCTCCAGCCCCTACTCTTAAGTTTTCAAAAAATATATGTGTTGTGTGTGTGTGTGTGTGTGTGTGTGTGTGTGTGTGTGTGTGTGTGTGATGGTACATGTGTGGAGGTCAGTGGACAACTTTCGAGTTAGTTCTCTCCTGCTACCATGTGGGTCCTGGGAATTGAACTCTTGGTGTCAGGTGCCTTTACTTGCAGAGCCATATAAGAGTTATTTTTAATTGGGTATATGTGTGTTTGTGTGTGGGTATGTACACATGAGTGCAGATGCCCATGGAAACCAGATGTGTCAAATCTCCTTGGAGCTGGAGTTACAGGGGTTGTGAGCTGCCCCATGTGGGTGCTGGGAATCGAACTTCTGTCCTCTGGAAGATCAGTACATGTTGTTAACCACTGAGCCATCTCTTTAGGTCTTGCTGGTCCTATTTTAAGAAGTCATCACACACCTTTAATCCTAGCACTCTGTGTGAGTTCAAGGCCAGCCTGGTCTACATAGAGAGTTCCAGGCCAGCTGGAGCTACAGGGAGACCCTGTCTCAAAAAAAGACCAAAAAAAAAAATAATAATAATAAATTTGTTTTAATTTTTTATTTATTTTATTTCATGTGTATGAATATTTTTCCTGCATGTATGTAAGTGCATCACATGCATACAGTGCCCATGGAGGTTAGAAGGCATTGGATTCCCTTAAGTGGAGTTTTTACGATTATTAGCTGCCATGTGGGTGCTGGGGACTGAACCTGGGGGTCTCTGCAAGCAGCAAATACTTTTAACCACTGAGTTGCCTCTCCAACTGTTTAAGAAGTCATTTTAATTGTACACTTTTAGAGCCTTTACCTTTCTTTTCAGAAATCCCTTATAGCAGATCTGAGACCTAGGAAATATGGAATTATCTATAACAGAACCGTTCTCTCCTTAACATCCTTCAGGCCATAGCAAGGAATGCCTTCATTGAAGGTTAAAGAAGAAACCTGACTTGGGCTTTTCTTACCCTGTGGGTCATGGATATCCTCAGCATTTACCTCTCAAGTACAAAGTGTTCTACATACATTCCTAACTGGCAGGAAACCCAGTTCCTGTGTCCATGTCCCCAAGTCAAGTGCAGCTCCCGCTTACTTAAGGGAAAGCTAGCTGTTCACAAAACAAATTACTAACTACAGTAGTACTGCCTACTCAAGTGTGGGTCAGAGCTCCTTACTGCCTGCCTTCCGTGTGGACCATTATAGGCCATTGGGATAACCATCTACCAGACTAAGTCCTCAAGATCCCAGCCTAAGCTTGGGAGGCAAATGCCATTGGCCAAGTTGAGACTCATCTTTTCTCTAGAATGCAAATTCCTTTTAAAGCAACGTGTCCCGCCTCTCCCTACCATATAAGGATAGCTTTGGTATAATAGCTTCAGCAAAACAAGACCCACCCAGAGCCTAGCTGGCTTTGACTTTGGCCTGGGCGTCTTGCCAGGGAAGAGCACCTGCCAGACTGGCTTAGGCTAGTCCGCGTGAGCTGGCCTTCGGTGCCTGCCTTTCTACCACCGAGGAAAGAGTTGCTCAGCTCTACAAAGCCTACAAGTTGGTTTACATTTGGGGAGAGGGGACCCATAGAAGCATGTGCAGATCCCAGCTCATCTATGGAGGAACAGATTGATTTTCTTTCTCAACACAGATCCGGAGCATTGAAAAGACACAAGACAAAGAATGTTGAGATACTACTACAAATACCAATTTCTTTTCGGGGGGGGGCGCTTTTTGAGACAGGGTCTCCCTGTAGCCCCAGGTGTCCTGGAACTCACAGAAATCCGTCTGCTTCTGCCTCCCGAGTGCCGGGATTAAAAGTGTGCGCCATCATGTCCGGCCACAAATACCAAATTTAAGGAGCCCTGGTCACGCCCAAGCTCCACCTTTATGTAAATCTGAGCTAACACCAGTGGGCACGGGCCGAGACCTCTTGGCTCCGCCCACCTCGCCCTTTCGCTCAACCTCGTTGGCAAGCACTGCACTGGGGGCGTGTATTACCTTAAGCCCCGCCCCAGAACCCTATACAAAGGGGCGGTTCCACTTGCACCGGTCCAGTATACTCCAGACCACAGGGCCGTGGGTGCGACCTCCTCTCGAAGATGATGAACGGGATGCGGAACTGGTGTGCCTTGGTGGACGTGCACTCGGAGGGTCAGCCCGCGGTAGGTCCGCGCGCTCACCGTGCCTTTCCATCTCGGCTGTCTGGGTTCACGCTGGGTGTCCGGCGCCGAGCTGGCGGACATCAGCCGACGCCGGGCTCTGCCGTCAGCCAGCGGAGGCCATCCGGGGCGGACGGGGGAGGAACGGGAGAAGCCCTGGAGGCCCCGGGGCCGGGGCGACCCTGGCCTTCGCGAGGACAGTGCAGTCTGGGCTAGAGCCCGGCTGTGAGCCCAGGCCTGGGCCGCGGGGCAGGGCGCGTACTCAGGCGTCCAGTGGGCAGCTAGCCTGGGTCGTGGGAGAAAGGAGCGCCGGGAGCGCATCCCTGCGCTGCGTCGGACACTGCTGGGTAGAGGCGGGTTAGGCTTTTCCGTGGGACCGATGACCTCGGAGGCCTTTCAAAGAATTGTATGGTGCTTTGGGCGATCGTTTCCAAGAAAAGGGGGCCGAGGGTGGAATCCTGGGGCTGGGAATGGAGTGTCAGACTATTCCGGAATAGGTCCGGATTCTACTTTTGGCTAAGAAGGTAGAACTTTCTGATGCTCACCTCTCTTGGATTTCTCCTTTTAACCTCCTTTTTACGTATGCTCCCTTACCCCTTCGGCCAACCGGTAGCTTCCTAGGACGGTTTATTGGTTTTTGCTTCCGTCTTCAGCCGCCAATCCTGAGGCCAGTGGATGAAGGGGATGCCTCGGCACCTGGGCGGAATAGGAAACCTGCTCCAGGGTTTCTGGACCCAGGAGAGGTGGGGAGAAGAGGGAGCATTCTCCATTCTGCCCTGAACCCCACATTCCCTGGTTACCAGTCCCTGACCTCCCCAACTCCAGTTCCCCAACTGACCACATGATTTGTTCTCGCCAGAGGGAAATGCAGGTAATTTGTGCCTGAGTGTTTCTAGGCTGGGCTGGGGACTCCTAACCCACATAACCCACCGTGGGTGTGTACTGTTTCATCCTTTTCAAGCTATTGTGGGAGAGTGAAGGAAGTGAGAGCCAAGATGATGGGAAGTTTACACCCCGCCATCTGATTCCTTTAGTTCTACCTGTCCCAGCATGCTCCTGAGGTAGAGCTAACCCAGCGGCAGCCAGATTATGGCTCTTTTCAAAGAACAATTGTAGAATAGGTGCTCAATTGAAGTTTGGAGTACAGACAATCATTTGATTCTGTTCACTGTCCCCTTGACATTTCTACCCAGGAGTATGCCTGTTTCTGCCACATTCTAAGTCCTGACACTGCCCAAACCCAGTCCCCCAAAGTCCCAGACCACAACACTGGCAGCACTGAGAATGATTTGTCACTCTCTTGATATTTTTGTTTACTTGTTTGGTGGGACAGCACGAAGAGGTAGGAAAATAGAAATTCAGTCTCAGCAATAGATAAGTTTGGAGTTAACTAGACAAGCTAACTAGAGTGCTTTATAACAAAGAGGAGACAGGCTGAACTTGAGACTTATTTCACTTCAAAACAGGGAATGAAATATCCCTTGCCTGGGTTTGATCTTGGAGACATTCCTGGCCTCTTGAGGAGGAGGAGGAGTCAATAGTAAACAATCAATCAGTCTAGTCACAGGGTTTGCCCTGGATTCCTCTCCTCTGAGCCAGTTTACAGATGGAGTTTACAGCTTTGGACAGCCTCCTGGAGCCTGTTGTCTAGTCATACCACTGAATGGTACAAAATGTCTGAGTGAGTAAGTAAACAAAGTCCCCCTTCCCCAATAAATAAGTAAATGGATCCCCCCTCCTCCCCAATTAAATAATAGACACACACCCCCTCCAAAATTTGGCAGTGTATACAGTTGGTTGAAGGCAGAATTCTGGGGCTATATTTGAGTTTCTACGCTAGCAGGCTCTGTGCCCTTGCTTAGTGCTCCACACATGACTGTGGAAGTTTGGCTAATACACCATCTGGGTTGTTTTTTCTTTATTTAATTTTTTTTTTTGTTTGTTTTTTGAGACAGGGTCTTCCTGTAGCCCCAGCTGGCCTGGAACTCACTATGTAGACCAGGCTGGCCTGTATCTCACAGAGATCCACCTGCCTCTGCCTCCCGAGTGCTGGGATTAAAGGGATGTGCTACCACACCCAGCTGTTTTTATTGCTGAAAAGGAGTCAGGGTTTTTCAAAACTGTAGAACGTAACCATTAGTGGGTCTGAAATCAATATAGTGGGCTTTTGAGCTTTGGACCTTTCCCAACTCTCTAGCCCACCAATGTTTTGGGGAACACCATTTTCTTCCTTAATAAACCATCTCTGTCACTAAGCTAGCAAACAAAATAAAAACATAGTGGAGCAGAAACATCTAAAACAGTAGAATTAACATTGAAAGTTGGTGAGGGGAGACTTTTTGGCAAAACTTTTGTTTCATTTATACATATTTGTATATGTGTTTACTTGACTCTAATGTAACATGTATTTTTAGGACAAAAATGTTTGTTTGGTAGTGACTTTGATAAATTATATTGGCACATTAAAGTACAAATAAATCTCAAACTCGTTTTATTAGTTATTTTCATTAACTTACTTTAGTTAAACAACAGAAAGTGACCCAGCTAACTTAAGCAAAAGAGGAATTTATTAGAAGGAAAGGAACAGTACACAGAATTTAAGGAAATGCTTAAGAAGCCGAAATCAGGGGCATCCTGTGGCTTCTGGTGGGGGAAAGGAAATGGCCGATGCACTCTACCATGGTTCCAGTTGTTTCAGATCTTTTTGTCATTCTGCCCAAAATTCCAGGGAGAGGGTGCCATTGTCCCCTGGCCTTCTCCTTGGCTAGGATAGGGCATGGTTCCTTGATTAACAGATTTACAAGCTTGCTTAATGAAAGAGGGGATTCTCCAGAGCAAAACCCCAATGTTGTTACCAGTGGAGGATCATGGAAGCTGTGTGTGAAAGAACAGAGTTCCATGGGTCAGCCTCTGATGTGGGAGATCTTTGCCTGCCTGCCTTCCTCCTGCCCTCCTTCTATATTAAATTGAAATAATATATGTACCCAATTTTTAATTTTTCTTTTACGTTTTTGAAACTGTTTCATGTGACCTAGGCTAATGTTAGTCTTGCTCCTCCTGTCTCTTCCCAAGTGCTGGAATTATATAGCATGTACCACCCCATGCATGATTTAAAAGAAACACACACAAACTACTATAAAATGGTTTTGAAAGAATGTAATTGTCTTTTACAACATTCTTCTGCTACATGTAAGTGGCCACTTTCAACTCTTAGCTGTTTTGTCTGGTGTCAACCTCTGTTTCTAAATAAAATACTTATAGTAATATTTCTCTTTTCTCTGTTTAAAATTACACTTATTTATTTGGAGGCAGGGGCACAAATGTGCCATGATACACATGTGGAGGTCAGAAGACATCTTGGGTAGTTGGTTCTCTCCTTCCACTATGTGGGTCCTGGGGATTGAACTTAGTCATCAGGTTTGGTGGCAAGTGCCTTTACCTGCTAGTCCCTCTTGTTGGCTTCCCCTCCCCTTTCCTCTTGTTTCTCTTTCTTGAGACAGAGTTTCATGTATTTAGGCTGTCTGAAACTTAATAAGGATGTCTTTTTACTTTCCTGCCTCTACCTTCCAAAAGTTAGGATTACAGCCATGTGACGCTATGCTTAGTTTATGTGATGCTCAGGTTGAGCCCAGGGTTTTGTGCATAGCAGGCAAATGTTCTTTCAACTGACCTACATCCCCAGCCTCAACCCTCCCCCACCAAAAACAAACAAGCAAACAAACAAACACCCACTAAAGCTACTGGGGATTGAACCTGAGGTCTCATGCATGCTAAGCAAGTGCTGTACTACTGATCATACTCCTTGGCATATTTCTTTTTTAATAAGTTTGCTTCTCATGGTGGTGCATGCCTTTAATTCTAGCACTTGGGAGGCAGAAGCAGGTGGATCTCTGTGAGTTTGAGGCCAGTCTAGTCTACATAGTAATTTCTAGGTCAGCTGGGGCTATAGAGAGACTCTGTCTCAAAAAAGACAAAAAAATTTTTTTAATTGAATTTTTGCAAATTTCATACAGAGTATATTGGTCATATTTGGATCCCCTCCTATATCTGTACTTACTAACCTCCTCCATGAAATTTTCTGAACTCTAATACATATATACATACATATATTAAGGCCCATAGAGCTATACAGTCAGGTTCGTGTTCCCAAATGCCTTTTGGTGTGGGTCCATCCATTGGAGCCTGGTCAACATACTAAGAGTCTCACCCTTAAGTGAGACTGAATCTCTCCTTTCCAGCAGTCATCAGTCGCCAATAGTTCCTCAGGTTGGGTTGGGAATCTATGCTGGGATTTTTTCCGGTTTGGCCTTGCATGGGATTTGTGCATGCTGTCACCCTTGCTGTGAGTTCATATGAGTAAATGCCCAGCTGTCTGGAAAACTCTGTTTCCTTATAGTCATCCACCTCTTCTAACTCTTACAGTCTTTCTGTCCCTTCTTCCACAATGATCCCTGAGTCTTGGGAGGCAGAACTTTGATATAGGTGTCCCTGACATATTTCTTGATTTATCAGTTTTAGATATCTATTGCCTCCTGTTGCAGGAATTAGGAATACTCCATTTGTTAGATGTTCCTTTCTTATCATTCCAGTGTAGTTATAATTTTTAGTTAAACTGTGATTTCTGTTAATGGCACTCTAGTTAAGTATGGTTCTGAGGCTGGTAAAGTGCTTGCCTGGCATGTGCAAGGCCCTGGATTTGATCCTGAGCACTGCATAAACTGGGTGTGGGTGGCACATGCGTATAATCCCAGCATTTAGGAGATCGAGGCAGGAAGATGGAAGTACAAGGTCATCCTTGGTATATAGCGAATTCGAGGCCAGCGTAGGATACATTAAAAAAAGAAAGCATAGCTTTTGGAGTTTGACTAAAGTGGGCTGTAATAAGGGATTCAATGTTTGCTTTGCCAGAGTACCTTTAGTAAATTTATTTCTTCATTCTCAGTTTCCTCATCTGTAAAGAGAAATGATAATTATACCTTTCTCACATGGTTGTTAGGAGGATT